GTCATTATTTAAGACTGCATTTTAGAATTTTGCCAATTAACCAATTTCAATCTTGGCCAAGTGCAGACTATGACAACTTTCATGCCTCCGCCTCCTGCAGCAACCTTTCTAGCTTTCCATCCTCAAGATAACAATATTATTGCCATAGGCATGGATGATTCCTCTATTCAAATATACAATGTCCGTGTTGACGAGGTAACGGAGCTGTGTCTGTAAACAGTTTGTACTTTGTACTCGTGATTTGAGATTTTTGGTGGTAATGCCAAGTTCTTTTGCAGGTTAAAAGCAAACTCAAAGGCCATACTAAAAGAATTACTGGTCTTGCTTTCTCTCATGTATTGAATGTATTAGTTTCATCTGGAGCAGATGCTCAGGTAATGATTGCTTATTATATATCTGTCTTCAGAATCTGAATTTCTATGATTAAATTGCACTAGGAAGAGTTCAAGAGTGTTTAACTGATTTTTATCAAGTGTATGTCCCCTTTCAGTATACAAAATGGCGATCCAATTTTCATAGTAATGATACGGAGAGTTACTTTTGAGCTGTGTTTATTATGCAGATTTGTGTTTGGAATACTGATGGATGGGAAAAGCAGAAGTCTAGATTCTTACAGCTTCCTCCTGGGAGGACACCACCAGCACAGTCTGATACTCGTGTACAGTTTCATCTAGATCAATTACAATTCTTGGTTGTACATGAAACTCAGCTCGCCATTTATGAAGCAACAAAACTAGATGGTCTAAAACAGGTTAGCCTCAGAGTTCAATGTGTTGTGTAAATAATTTTGTTTATAATGCTTTTGTCTGACACCCGTAACTTCAATTGCAGTGGTTCACGCGAGATTCATCCGCACCAATATCACATGCAACTTACTCATGTGATAGCCAGCTGATATATGCCAGCTTTTTAGACGCAACAATCTGTGTATTTAGTGCTTCAAATCTCAGATTACGTTGTCGTATCAATCCTTCTTCTTATCTTCCTTCAAGTGTCAGGTAACCCTTTAACATTTTTATACTGCTGCTAGAACGAGAGTCGATCTAAAACTGAATCTAATTGTGCCATTGCCTATAATTTAGTCATTAATTCGAAGTTACCCTGCATTATTCTAAATTTATAATCTTTCAAATACTTTTTGTTGAGTACTAACATAGTCTTCATGCTGCAGTTCCAACGTACAACCGCTTGTAATCGCCGCACACCCACAAGAACCAAATCAGTTTGCTGTAGGTCTGTCAGATGGGGGAGTTCATGTTTTTGAACCCCTTGAATCTGAGGGTAAGTGGGGTGTGCCTCCTCCTATAGAGAATGGGTCAGCAAGCAATGTGGCAGCTACTTCAGTTGGACCTTCTTCAGATCAAGCTCAAAGATGATCCCTGTCAGCCTAAGACAAGTTTCTTTTACATACTTGGCTTGCTGGCCAGTCATTTTAAGAACTAAATTTGTACTTAAGTTAATGATGCAGTGCAGGGCACTCTCCAATTCAGTTGATCCAATCCACAATCACGTCATGCCAGAACTCTGGAGCAACTCTTTTGGTTGAAGGCCAAAACCACATTGTAATTTTCCAATAGATGTGATTTTTTTTTTCAAGTTTTAATGCTACAGATGTACAAGTTCTTTTGAGTACTTTCAAAGCTTCTTCTGGCTATTTAATTAGATTGGTTGATCCTAACTTATTGCCTTTTCTTAGTTCCATTCCTGTCTTGCATGTGTGCTAATCTTGTCTTCATCATACTTTCTATACAATTTGTAACTTGTGTGACGTAGTTTAACCAAGAATGAGGAGTAAAGCTGTAGTCTTCTACCATCTTTAGTAGTTTCAAACGTTGTTTGGTCTTTCATTTTTTATTTTTTACTTTTGATCATTTTTTTAAAATATTTTTTCGGGGTTTGTATATATAACAGTAAATAATAAAGGCATTTTTTTAATTTTTATATAAATTTTAAAAGTAGAAAATGAAAAATAATGAAATGCTTTTGTAATTAGAAACGAAAAAACTACAAATAGGAGATATTTTTTCCTTCAAATTATACGAGCTATTCTATTTGTGTGAGAAACAATTTCGAAAGAATACCATACCCATTTCGGCTTTTACTGTCGGCGTTTGTGAAGAATGGCTTTCCCTTTGTGAAAGTAATTTGTTTTTTTGGAATGATATTGAAGTAAAGTTTGTCCGCTTTTTTTTTTTTTTTTTTTTTTTTTAATAATCTTTTTTACAGTTTAAACACTTTTAAAATCTTTATAACTAAGTTTGCAACATGTATAACATTCAAGAAGGCAATACAATTTCTTTTTGGGTGTACATATTGTTTAGAATTTTTTACCCTTAATTTATTATAATAACTATAATATCTTTTAATTATTAATTGTTCACTATTTTTTAAATAAAATACGTGACTCACTTGCACTTATATATACATATAATTTTGTATATATATATATATATATATATATATATTGAATAATATAATAATTGATAAAAATTACACGGATATAATTTGATCCTTTCTCACACTAGTACAATTTTACTATTATAACATTCAATAATTTTATATTCAAGGTAAATTTGTTGATTCAATTGTTGAATTATAATTTTGTATTATCTTGAATGTATATATTAAATTTTGTTTAAATTAAATAACAATAAGAGGGTAATCAAATTATTTATATTTTATTGCGTTAAATTTGATATATTAAAATAGGTGTCAACTAATTCTAGATTAATATAAATTTTAAATGCATGATCATTGAAATGCAAGAAAGGTCCCACATTATTTAAATAAGAGGATGAACATAAGTTTATATACATAATTGTCTCCATTGGTCAAGAGGTCTTTTGAATGATATTAAAAAATAAATCGTGAAAACTTAGATCCAAAGTAAATAACATCTTACTTATAGAGACATGTGTATGTAGTAAAACCTCACCTCGTTATTAAATGGTGTAATAGATGATAACATGATTATAAAAATCAATAATCTCATCATACATAATTTATGATTAAATAATATAAAACTGTCACCAGTGAGTTTTCATTAAATTGTAAAAGAAAAAAATATATAAAATTGATACATCTCGTCATTTTTAGGAATAAATCAAATCTTTGAAATGAACATTCTAAGAAAGTATCATGACATCATAAGTTAAAAAAAAATATTTTTTACGGTAAAGTGATGTCGGTAATATATGTTTTGATTTATTTCTAAATATATTTTTATCATTAGATGAGTTTTATGTGTATTTTATTGAAAAATTTGAATCAATTTCCTAACGTGACTTATATTTTAAATACGTAGGAGTATAACTTTTTTTTTTTTTTTTGCCTAATTTTAACTTGTCGAACATTAAATTTGGGGTTGGTCTTTTCCTCCTGTCTCAAGGAAGCTATTGCGGAGCTAGTCATTGTATTTTTTTTTTATTTTTTTTATTTTTGTAAACAGTTCGGTGTCAGAAGAAGTATATGCTTCAATGTTTTTTAGTTGTGTTGATAAATGCTTCATTTAACTTTAGGACCTAGTGAGATAGGGTAGGGTCAAATATGATTTATTTTCACACAAATACAGTTGAGATCCACCTGCACAGCCACTGTTTTCACTTGTTTGGCACCTACTGCCAGGGCCCCCTTCATCGTTCAGATCAATTTCAATTTCCCCAATAAGAAAATCGGAACACAAGTAGGTTTTTATTAATAAATACTAATGATTGGCGTGCTTGCAAATTAACATTTTTATTTCTTTCATTCAATTATATTCGTATGAATTAATGTATTACCGAACCATAGACTTTCAAAATGAACGAAATGAGAATAAGGGAGATGAAGACAACCATTAGGTTGATTTAGGATGTAGAACGTCTTAAATTCAAGTGTCAGTTGTCATTGTAATTCTAATAAATAAATAAAAAATGAAAAAAAAACCATCTATGCATGTGAATTATTTTGATACAATTGTTGAAATTGATATATAAAATATAAGGGTATTTTGGAATATGTGAGTTATGTTTGGTTAAGGTAGAATGAAGTCTCCTCTCCTTTAGTAAAAACACTTATAAAAGAGACTCAACAATAATCATAATTTTTAAGTAAACTATTATTTTAGTTTATGAAAGTGTACAGATTATTAAAATAGTCCTTGAAGTTGAAACTACTTATCTTAAGTGATAATATTAAAATTTGATATTACTAAAGTCGACCTAATGATAAAAGTTGAAATAATATATCTAAGATTATAAAATAGTTTCAATGCAATTATTGTAAAAAAAATAAATAAGTAAAAACTAACATGTTTAATAAATACTTGAGTTTAAAAATTATATAAAATAATTATTTTCTAAAAATTTATTTATAAAAAAATTAGTTTTTAGAGATAAAAGTAACCATAGATACACTTTCAACAAAAAAATGATGATCTGATTGGTGATTTAGTGGTAGTTTCCTACAGATGGTACTGGTAATGAAGTATCGAGGCAGACGTGTAAGTCCAATTATGCAAAGATTGCCGTATGTAAATATTAATTTGGAGTCTCTTTAATTATTGAATACTACAATAGTATCTTGACAGTGACACAAACAAAAACACAATTACTTTTTAAAATAACTAATGATTATATTAAAACTACTCATTTCTCTGAACGTGAACTTGTGACAAGACAACCTAAATTTATTTACTTTGCCGGCCGGAAAAATTTGCTTAGTTTGGATGACTTCATAGAGTATTATTGAGAGTTTTGGTTCACTATTAATGAAGTCAAAAATCAGAATTTTGGGTACGGTGCAAATACACTTATGTTTAATATTTTTCAAGGTTTCCACGATAAAAATTCAACCCATTAAGAAAGAAAGAAATTTAGTGCAAATACAAAAAAATATTAATTTTATATTTTAAAGCAATGAGGTAAAATGAATTGTTTTACAACAATGAAAACACTTAAAATATTTATAAACATTTTTATGACATCAAGAATTCACTTGGGGGGGTACAAAATGACTATATATTTCAAACGTGTCAAATAAGTTAATTATTAATCTATTAAGATCTGCTCGATAAAAAGTTCATTTTCCAATTTTTCACCTTAAATACTAAAACACGCCGTGGCATCATTCTTTTTCATCATATACAATGATAACAAAACAAAAGAAAGCTTGGCACCAAAAGTAGAGTCACACCTTCCATAAAGCCATTATTATAGCCTATGTACACTTAAGTGGTTGTCTTTCCATTCTTCTGACATATATACACAGATCAGAATACCAAATTAACTACCCTGGCCGAAAGCTTAGCAGATTCGGGAGGTATACCGATTTCAGTTTCTTGATGTCATTTGCTGTCACCTTACAGGACTCCAATGTCAGAGATCTCAAGTTCTTCAGTGTTTTCAAATGCTGCAGTCCAGCACTGGTGATACGAGAATTTGAAACATTCAGAGAAATCAACCCAGTCAGCCCTGAAATTATGAGCATAACCATGTGATCAGACATATAGCTAACTACAATCAATCACCCTAGTTTCACGACTCTACACAACGGAATAAATGCAAACCCTTTTTCATTAAGAAAATACCAATGTAAAATAGAGTAAATTTCTATAATTCACAGGACCTTCATGTCTAGAGCTTACTACAACCTATGGTCTTGCGCTTTAAAATGCAAAACAGGTACCAAGCATTATGTAAAAAACAAATTAAAAAAAATAAATAGCCCTGCTTTTCATCAAGGCTGACATAAATTGTAGTGAATTTTAGATGCCTTCTGCTAAATTCAAATTGGGTAATTGCCTTGTTAACCTAATTTAATTCAACTTTTCAGCATAACCAAAATATTTACATGCTAACTGCAGAATTCAAACCAATAGTTCCATACAGTTTACAATCAGAAGCCACTTGAATAGCCAAATAATTTAAGCATTTAGGACTTACCCAAGCAGACACCTTTCAAAAAGAAAAACATCTATTCAAGTTTAATCTAACCCAGGCACTACTTTGTATATTTTCAATGTGACTAATTAGGTTTTAAACTTGGGAAAGAGGAAAACAAAACAAACAAAATAAGACCAGTGTGCTTCCCAAAGAAAACAAAGGTCGGCAGAAGTACCAGAAATTAACTCCAGGGTTTTGTCTGTAAGGTTGCTGTTCTGCGATAAATTTAAGCACACTAGAGAAGAAAGCTCTCTGATATTCTTCACTCCAGCATCAGTCAAACTTCCACCGCATATTTCCAAAGACTTCAGGTCCTTAAATTCTGTTCACCATAAGTTGGCAAACCAATAAATTCAATTTATAACTGTTAAGGGCATTAACATAGTAGTTAATTATATATAATACCGCTGATCATAGAGAGAATTAAGATTGAAATAATCTTATTTGACAAGAGTGGTTCATCAAATATACAGTGAACACCAGTCAGTACGTGTATAATCTTTTTATACGAGAGACTAACAAAAATCTTGACTGAGGCAGGGAGTTCAAGACAACAAACTGCATATTACAGTTGTCAAATTGACATTTAGTGATCAGGTCAAACTTATGTCAGAATAATGTATCCTTAAACTCATGTAATTTAACTGTAACAGCAAAGACAAGACATCTATTTGTTAGATAAAAAATAAGAAGCAAAAACAAAATGCCAAAAAAATGTACGAAAACCATATTTTTGGTAAAGGGTAAACAATATATCCACAAATAATCATGTTGGAAGTTAATATTCAGTGATATATTGCATACTTTTCAAATGGTTTGTCCCAATATCTGTGATTCGTGCACCAAACAAATCCAGGTCAATGAGGCCAGTCAAACCTGCATTAGCAAACTCAAAATTATGCATGCTGCAAGATTAAGCTTAAGTATAGAAAACCAAAGAGCCAGAATAACTTATATGCATGGTCAGTGTAAAATTTTTGCAGAGACATCTAAATATGAATTCACTCCACCACCACATCATAATAAAGAATAGGATGATGTGGTGATTGGGTGAATTCCAATTGAGTGCAAGCGTAAAAAGTTTTACATTGATAAAATTAACTTCATATTTCAAACCTTGCTATAAAAAAACAGTAGGTAGTTAATTGGATTGAACAGGATTAGGTAATTAATTAATTGTAATACTCAACAGAAATAAACAAACCATTCTTTGAATTCTAATTTTTTTCATAGAAGCACGTACTTGTAAGATTTGCCAATCCAGTATCAGTAATTTGGTAAGCATCCAAATTAAGTGACTTCAACGACGAGAGTCCGCATAATTTTGTCAAACCACTATCACTAACCATGGTAAATGACAGATTTATTTTCTGCAGGCTAGACAATCCTACAAGAAAATAATCAAAAAGTATAGCCCATGTAAACATAGTTAAAGAATTCTACATCCCAAAATCTGAGGTATATATACTACACCTTATGTAGTAAGAATCAAAAATCAAATACTGTCATTTTTCCCTGATAAATTCTATTCATTATTCAGAAGTTATCCATGTCAAGAGATTAGCATATGAGAACATCAGAAGTTTGCCAGAACGTTCAAATGTAAAAAGAGATAAAGCTAACTTTAAAAGAAAAAATGAAGCTCAAAACACAAACTATAGAAGCGGGGCATCATTTGTAAATGCCCAACTCAGACAAGCTGCAATAGAAAGAATGATGAAGACACAATTTTAATAGCAGAAAGTATCTCTCAAAATGGTTGACCTAAACAAACCATAGTTATCAATAACACACTATAGCAATGTAGTGCTGCAGGGCAGCCTGTGCCGCTACAAAGTTATCAATGTGGCTGCAGTGACACATGATGGTGCTTGAGTGAAGCTTTTCTGAAAATCCATTTTTTGCGCACAAAACAATTTAGTTTTGGGGGGTTTTAAGGGGCAAAGATGATATTACCATTCCCTTTAGAATTTTAAAAATCCCTAATTGGATGTAGTTTCCCACACTATTAATTAGACTGTGCAACACCCACACTATTCTACAAACACCCACTTGTCTCTGGCAGTATTTTTGGTGTCACACACCGCCCATTATTCTCTACTTTGAACTCTGAAAATCTGAATTACCTCTTTTCTGAACTTAGAACCCTCAACCTCCTTTGTTCTAAATTTTGAACCCCCCAACCCTCACCTCACTTTTTATTCGATGCTCAGGAAGTCTTGTATTTGAAGTTTGATATATGAATACACTTTCGAATATTGCTTTTTCCCCAACATTTAATGTTATTTACTCAGATGTTTTGCTTGAAACCCATTACCTTTTATTTTTTAATAATGAATACATCATCAATGACTAGTTTCTATTTAAAAAAATAAATAAATAGTTGTGAGCATTTATATGTATAAAGTATAAATATAAATTCTTTAATTTATATACAAAAATTCAAAAATAGAGGCCATCCTGCTATATGCCATACTGTTATAAAACATTGTTGGAGTCGGCCACCAAGCACACAATCTAAGATCAATAACTATGAATGAAATCCATTAAACATTGAAGTACAAGCAGAAGTTAACCCCAAAAACATAAAAATTTTGAAAGTAGCAAGGAACTGGCATATCAAAAACCTGATAAATGGTGTAGTCCATTGCTTCCAACTTCTGTATCAGACAATTCCAAGCATTTCAATTGCTTATGGCCTAAAAGCATTGGGAAGAAAATGCAAGTCACACAATCACACTAGATAGTTATGTGCATTTCCAATGATAAATCACATGAACACAATCATCCTTCAAATTAATCATATAACCAATTATGCCAAGTAGATAATATGCTAAGTAATTTTTTTTTTAATTTTCTTATATTAAAAAATTTTAGGCAACAATTTCATCCAGGAAGTCATAAAAAAGAGGCAGGGAATTCAAGCATCTACCAGCCAAATTGACCAGTCCTTCATCACCAATCTTACATGAATCAAGGTTCAAACTCTCCAAACGTGTCAAACCTGCTTGAAAACATACATCACCTTGTTAGATACAAACATTTTCTTTCAAATATAATTCACATCTTTCTTCTATCCCAGCTTTATATCTTACTGTTATATCTATTGATAATACACAAATATTCCGCAAACGCATGTTAATATAAAGTTATCATGTACAAAATAAGTTACAAGTTATATTAAGAACAATAACTGCAACTAAAACTATAATATTAAAAGTGAAACTCCGCAGAATGGTAATGTTGTATGAACTAGAGATTAACCAGCCTATATCATTGCTAGAAAGGTAGTTCTGTTACAAAGAGTCAATAAATTAAAACAACACTACATGTCTATGTGTTCCAAAAATTGTTCCAAAATTAATGCCCAAAATAATGAAATTTTCAAATCAGCAGTATCACATCATCAAACCAAATTAAAAAGTATAGTTGAGGCCCCACAATTAATGACAAAGTCTACAACAAATTATGTTAACTTTGATTATGAATAATTTTCTTTATTTTTTTTATCACATTATTATATAGTGTTAGGTCTTAGATTTCATCTTAAAACCAATTAGCATTAAATGAATTTACCTAATGAAGCACATTAACCGCACTTAGTTATTCAGGCACACGACGTATGACTTTTGAGATTGAGTTAGGCCCTGCCCACTTCTAATACAATATCAGAGTTCATTCAATCTTCATGTTGACCAACCCACAAATGTTTAGTTTTGCAAATTTTAAACTACAAATGCCCAATCTTGGATATGAGATGGGTATGTTGGGATATCCACATTGGTTAGGAATACCAAAATATTCTTTACAAGATTCAAGCAATCCTCTAATTTATCTATCCATTTTTAATATATAATTTATCTGATGGATGACAAAGCTGACTTGGACTAACACATAATTCGGGCATTTAAGATTAAATTCTTGATTCCACATTTATTCATGGAAAAGATTAAGTTTTGCTCCCTAGCAGCCCAAATGGCACATAAAAATCCATTATACAGAACAAATACAGGTGACAAAACTGACTTGGAATGATACATAATTGGGGACAGCAATCTTAATTTTTTTTCTGGGGCATTTAGGATTAAATTCTTGATTCCACATCTTGCACTCATGGAAAAGGTTAGGTTTTGCTCCCTAGCTGCCCAAATGGCATGTAAAAATTCCATTAGACAGAGAACAAATACAGGCGCCCACTTAAAAGTTAAAAGATGGCTTGTATCTTCAGAGTAGTCCAAGGTGAATAGGAAAATAAAGAGAGCAAGAAATTTGGAATCACCTTTCAAATGAAATAAACACGTATCTGTTATGACATTAAATCCCAAGTTTAATACTTTCAAATTTTCCAGTCCTGTAAAAAACAAAAGGTACTGTTACAAATGTAATGGCCCCAATAATTCTTATGGTGTCAAAAAGTACATACCAACAAGCTTATTGTCAAATATATAACTACAGCCTGAGAGAAGTAGCTATACAATTCTTAACAACTTACGTGAAAATTTTTTGCATCCATTGTCAGAGAGATTACATCTACTAAGATTCAAGTTTGACAGTGCAGGAAGCTCTGGCACAAAACATAAAATCAAAATTTCAATGGACATTTCAAGTTCATTAAAACATTATATACTATAAAGACACGATGAAGTTACATTTTTACATTCAACAAACAACATTCACAATACTAATAAAACTAATAGCAGCTGGTTCAAAATAATATGCTTAGCTGAAACTTCTTCTGTTTAATAGAGTCAAGCAGACACACACAATGTACTCATAGCTACCGAATAACCAAATATGTGAATACTGCATTGACACTATAACTCTAAGAAACAAAACCAGGGTTACCTCTATAAAAGGTACTAAAGTTTGGACCAAATATTCTCCCATCTGAGAAAAGTAAGTTTAAACACTTGGAATCACATTCCACATCCCATGTTTTTCTTTCTAAAGTTTCACAATTATTAGACTTGCCCTGTTTCTAAATCCGCTTGAAGTGGTATGCTCAAGGCATCCCATTCCTAAATCCTAATAAACACAATGTTTCAGCTTCAAGTTTTAAGCATTAATCCATTCAAATAGAAATAGAACAGGATTAAAGCATCAATGGACCAATCAGGAAATAGCCCAGAAATTAATGCCTATTGGTTCTAGTAAGCCCAAATATAATAAGCATAAAAGTATATAAAGGTACTCAACCTGCAAGAGAATTCAAGCAAGCAGCTGTTACAAAGCACCCTTCCAAATTTAATAGGGCAAGCTTCAGTAACCCTGTAATAAACCATCAACTCGTTAAAAATGAATAGTGATAATTGCATACAGCACTATACTGTCCTGTAAAGCTTTTATTGATAACTTGGTCCAATAAAATTGTGTTAACACAAAAATTTAGAAGCTAGCACAGAACATCAATCATCCTTTGCATCTTCAAACAACACAGAAACACACATAGACAGACAGAAGAGACACAAATGAATATACTTGAGGAAGAAGATGAAAATTTTAGGTTGAACCTCTCTTTCAGGTTTCACTCTCCCAAGAGAAAAATACCAACAACAAAGATTATCACATACTACAGAGAGATATAAATATTCCAGAATACAAAAACATGCAAGAGTATCAGGAATAAGATAATCATATTCTTAGAAAGATGGTTTGGAACACATATAATCCCTATTGTCTGAAATGTCACGATGATAAAAGGAAAGACACAATACCTTTTAGAAAACTGATGCCAAAATCAGTGACTTTACTGGAAGAAATCTCTAGACTTTTCAAGCTTGCAAGCCCTGGAAGTAAATTGAATTAGAGATAAATTATACTGTTGATTATTGAATCATATGTCTAATATTAATAATATGCCAATGATAACTTCTGTAAACACGAAGGCACACTGACAATTATATGTTATCCAATACAGCTGTTGCAACATGTTCTTTTCAAGAGATATAAAACCATTCCACTCAAGCTGAATAAACAAAGGTGGAATATGTATAGGAACTACTCCTTGGTAGAAAACACACTAGTTGCATAAAAGAAAGTCCAGACAATTAATATTGGGAAAAGTTTCAGCTAATGTGCTCAAAAGAAAGCAAGATGCAACAAACCTGAAAGAGGTTTCATATCATAATCTGTAATGCAATTACACCACTTTAAATTGAGAGATTCCAACTTGGTCAAACCTGAAAAAAATGGACCAAATTATGGGACTGAAGTTACATGGAAATCAATTTTGTTCAGCTCTTCAATTAATCATGCTACAGTATCACACTGTAATATAGCTCCTTCAACCTTATTATAGTATTCTCTTATGTTGAATGCTGCTTAGTTACATTGAACCCATATCACCAATACATAATTGTAAATGAAAAACAACTAATATTAGGAAAAAAGTGTAGTCAGTTGATTCCTTATTTTAGCTATTCATAGCACTCGGCAAGTATAAAGGCAGAAGGTAGCTCAAAAAATGTTACTCCACTTGGGTGCTCTGTAAATTGCATTCTACTTCATCGATAGCACAATGCAACTGTAAGTTGAAACAACTAACAACTGTGATAGACATTAAATACAACATCATGGGATATATTAGCTGCATTATGAATTAAATAAGTTTAGCAGCTAGAAAATTAAAAAATAAAATGAAGGTTATATAATCGGGTTAGTAAAGCTTTAGTTTCACACATAATTGCAGCTAAGAACCAACCTTGAAGATGAACAAGGCCTCCATGAATCCCAGGACATCTCTCCAAATCCAACTTGACCAAGTTAACAAGACCGGAAAAGGTACTCATTCCTTGAGCAGAAATTGAATCATTTCTTCTAAAACTCAAACTTGTCAAGTTTGACAGACCTGAAATATTTTATTACAGTTGTTGTAAACCTTAAGTAAAAGCATCTTATGGACAAAGCTTCTAAACATAAGTAATCTCCCATGAAAATGAATACTGAATGGAAGACACGTAGATGAGGAAAAGTTGGAAACCATTATGTAACAAAGGCAGATGGTAGAAGTTAAAGGAAATACTCATGAACAATATACTACACATGAAATGCATACTAAAAACCACTTCAACCTCACTAAGCAGAATTCATTATGTCAAATTAGATTAACTGATAGGTGGGTGTTGAAAACATTTCCATTCTTTGCAAGAAATCTCTGCGGCAGGAACATAACCATGGTCAATTGCCCTTTGCATAATTTCATTCTTTGAACATGATATATTAAAATTAAAATGCATAACATTACAGAACAAAATCAAATGTCATGGCATGCAGATGAACAGCATAAGATTTCTTTATGCATATTTTTCAATAAGTTAGACCTACATAGCTCTTGTGTTACTTGAACCAGAGGTTGACTCACAACACTTTGTGATACTGATTCTAGCTCCAATTAATCAGTATGTCCCTGAACTATTTGGAAATTTTTAAATGAGGTCCTTAAACTAAAAAAATGTAAGTAGGTCCTTGATCTTGTAAAACTTTTGTAATTGGGTCCCTAGGGTTTTTAAATATTTGTGGTGGTTTTAAAAACCTTAGGAACTCAACTACAATTTTTTACAAGATCAATGACCCAATTAAATGTTTAGTTTGGTAACCTAATTAAAAATTCCCAAATAGTTCAAGGACCTAAGAAATTAATTTAACCTTTTCAATATGAACTAAAAGTAAATTAGAAATAGGTGTATCAACAGGAAACAAATTGGCCAAAAAAATAGAGAAGACTACATGGGGAATTCTTGGTAATAGTATTTTCAATTTGGGGAATTAACCACGACCACCTCAAGCGGTTAATAATATTTAAATATAACTAATGATTAAATACTTATTCATTTAACTGATCACTTAAAAGATCAATGTTCTTAAATTGAAAATCATTTACCAAGAATTCCATTACTGAAAATTTTCAAAGAAAATATATAGAAGGCACTTGTTTCAAGATATAATATTGTATTCCCAGGAATGTTATACCTAGGAATGTTACTCCCATAAATGTGTTTGGTAAACATTGTTAATTTTAGGGAAAAAAATGTTTTTTATTTAATTAAAAAATGTGGAATAATAAGTGGAAAGAGGAAGTAATTAGAAAAAGTAATTTCTATTCCAATGGAAATATAAGATACCCATCCTTCACCATGGGAATGAGAAGCATGTTAAATGTGAAGGTTTTACATTTCTAGGAATAAAATATACCCTGAAATATTTTTTTATAACCTTCTAACAAATATGAGAATAGATATTTTCACCTTCATATTCCTGAGAATAGAAAACATTACTCGAAACAAATGCATCCATAGCAATCAGCATAAAAAAAATATATGAACTGGCAGCATAAATATGTTAGGCTAACTTTTACTAAGTTATCATGTACAATGAAAAATAAGTCAATATGTAATCCATTTTCAAAGGACTAACGCCCAAGTGCAAATATGGGAAATAAGTGAAAAAGGGTAGATGCATTGAGTGCGTTTCCACAACAATGACAGAAATACAAGAAAAGAAAATATACCACTGATACACTCTAGTCCACGATCTGAAATTTGGTCACAGTGATTTAGATTTAAGGACATGAGACTTTCACAATCTTTAAGGTATGTCAGCCCAAAATCAGTGACATCAGACCCAGAAAGGTCTACAGAAAGTAAAGATGAACCCTGGGATGCGATGACACCCATCCAATTATCATTAACATCATCATATTCTCCCAAGTAAAGATCCTGTAAAATGAAAGAGATAAAAACACTAACTATTTAGATCAAGAAAACATAATTAACCAGGTTCATAATTGATATACCTGGAGAGCACAATCTCGAAAAGCTTCTAGGGAAGCACTGGTTAGACTTCGGGAGTAAACCAAATTATTAAAAATTAGCTGACTTATATCCCGTGGCAGCACAGAAAATGTGTCATATTTTTCAATATCCTGTTAGATAAAGATTGCAGTGATTAGATCAAAAATATAAAGGATCTGGACAAAGCAAAGTAGCAAAATTTGTTTAATCAACACCTCAGTTATTTTCTGGACGCACAAGTCCAACAGAGATGGACATTCTCCTTTTTGTATGCGAAAATCTACAGATGGATAAGAAAAAGAGGATGTCCACCATTTCAAACTCCCACATTTGCAATATCTTCGTGATAGTCCCCTGGTAAGACCATCTTCATTGTCCTGCTCTTGCTTCCTAGAACACGCTCCCCCCATCCAAGATATTCTCGTAACCAATGTATGTTAATATACTTGCAGCAGAACACTAGCATAATTCATTCAATAACCAAAAACGAACATATGCAACCAACTTCATCCTGTTAAACAAAAAGGCACCAAAAAGTAGAGCTTAATAAGATTTCAGCAGATTATAGCATTCAGGGACTGACTTCTCTTGTATCCATTAACAGCTCTACTTACAACATCAACCTCGTCTAAAAGCCAAAGACCAAAATTGCCAGATCACCTCAAAAATATCAGCAACCAAATCATAATCAGCACTTACTGTCTTTGTCCTAAGCAATACTGCACGTCTTATTTCTAGTGACACATATAACTAACTCTTGGGGATATGCCCAAATATCTTTAGGAGAATAAATTAGTTTTGATAGAAATCTTTTATTTATGTTTCAAATATTTAGATTTGATTTATTTTGATTATTTATAGATTTGTGTCCTTATTTTTAAAATAAAATAATATCAAAATTTGATTCTTGTATCACAATTTTTCTCTATGTATACCGAGCTTATGAATAAAATTAGATCATGCTCTTAAAATAAAAATATATCTTAACAAAATACAAATACAAAATATTCTATAGTGGTATCAGAGTTATTAGTTGGATTTGGTGACAACCAATAATTCATAACCCATACATACAAAAAATACAATATAATGCAAGAAAGATTCCAGCAATCAGGAGGTTAAGTCCTTTGTTTAAGAGGAAGATTGTTAAGATGCAAATCAAGTCTCAAATCGTTAAAATAAAATTTTATAAAACACATACACACTCTATTGGTTAAAGGTCTTTTAGATGATGACCCAAAACAAAACCATCTAGGTGAAAGTCCAAAGTGTATAATATCTTACCATTATAGAATTATAGAATTATGTGTGGAAATACTAAAAACAAGAAGATATATAACTCTCCTCTTAAAAATTATATATATATATTCCCATCAAACAAACCGACAAAATAACTCTTAACACTACACACATTAACTTGACAAATAACAGGGAAACCGTCGAATACACTCAGTATTCACTGTGCACCACCCCCCCCCCCCAAAAAAAAGGACATCTATATGCAAAATCAAAACAAAAATACACAAGTTCAAAACACGACAAATAAAAATTACAGTTAAGCAATTAAAACAACGGCAACAGGAAAAAGTAGATTACTCAGTACTGACTCTGCGCCGAAAAAGAAAGGGATATGTATATGCAAAATCAAAACAAAAAACAGATTCATCCTTATAAAAAAAATACACAAGTTCAGAACAGTACAAATAAAAATTACAGTTAAATAATAATACATAATAATAATAATATAAAAAGAATGAAACACCGGCACACACACACATATATATATATATATATATTAATTTGTCAAAAACTTTTACACTATCAACTAATAAAAAATAAAAAATCACTTCATACGTGATTTTTAAAGTAATTATTCTAAAAATATAAGAAACATACATGATGATTTATAATAGATGATTACAGTCGATGCATAGTTTCTGTATATAAAATACAGTAAAAAGCTAATAATAATAGTATAAAAAAACACTAAAAATAAACCAGTTAAATAATATTAATATAATATATATTATAGGAAAAATATACAACGGCATAGTAACAAGTTACGAGCGATGATCGAACACAAACGGCAAAGTAACAAATTACGAAGGATGATCGAACTACAGAAAACACAAAAATCCACACAGAGGAAAAAAAAAAAAAAAAAGGAAACGAAAGACGTTTATGAAAAGTGTGAAAGGAAATAGCATGCAGAGTTAGAAACGAAAAGAAGGTGAGAAAGAAAATAGCGAGGAAGTGAGCGTACCCTGAGATGATCGACGATGAGTTGGATTGGGAGAAGAGAAGCGATCACCGAGTGGGCCGTGTTGCAGTTACAGGTGAAGTTGAATAGCTGGTAGTGAGTGCGAGAAAACAAAAGTAGTGGGTGGGGACGTGGTACGTAACCGAGCCTACATCCGAACCAGTCATCGGAAGACACGTGGCGAATAGGGTTGCTGTGGATTTAAATGGGTAGGGAAGGGAGGTGGGATTCTCTTGACTTTATCCATTTGGAAGAGGTGGGACCCACCCGGTTTGCCTTGCGAACTTTGTGCACGCAATGATGCAATCTTCGCACCCATTTCTTCACTCATCACGCTACTTAACCATTGCTTTGTCACTTGATTTATGCCTCCATTAATTAATTCCCAATCATCGCATCACTTGCATTGCATGTTTCTACTTCCACCTTACTTAAAGCATATATCCTTTACGTTATTGTACGAATCAATCCAACAATTTTTAAATTCTACAATTAACGCCATTCTCTTAAAAGAATACAATAACCTTTCAATGATTGATATTATGTATGTAAATATATATAATTAATTAATTGTGCAGTTACTTTATTCGTTCAAACGGAAAACAATAAAAATGGTTATTAGATGTAAAATAAATTCCATTACACATCATATTCATATGCTTTTTTTCTTAGAAAGGGAAAAACAAACCGTTTGATCATCTGACAAGTGACGAAATCAAGTTCTTTCTTTATTTTGTTGGTAAAGAAATAAATGTTTACTCCTCATGAGAGGCGTGTATATACATGTTTCAAGAAAACTGTCGAGTACTAAAAGAATTGCAAACGCCATACGGTAGAAATTACAGTACACTTTCTAACAACTCAAATCTTCTCCGTTCTCTACGTGTTCAAATAACATCACGTTTGATCTTCAGTCTCCATGCTTATAGACAGTGTTGAAAGATGTATGAATTATTAAGATAAATTGAGAGTAAAGTTCATAAATATCAGATTTTTAGGCCTGAATGGATAGCAACCACTCCCCCAACTAAATTCTCATACTCTACTTTCTGGAATCCTGCATCCGCAATCATCGATGCAAATGTTTCCTGCAACCCATCAATTACATTAGATTAGTCAATACAATAAGAACACACAAGTAGATAGATAACTGATAAGCAGACGCAGACTTTATTCAAATCCGAATTCTCAGCAGAGAAGTTTCTTCACAATTCTTATGATGCCAAGCAAACAAGCATATATAAGCAAGTTTCCAACATTTATAGATATCAAATAAAACTCCATAAAAACAGAGAACAGGCACTATTATTGCCAAGTAAAAACTAAAAAACAAACAATTTTGTTACTATTTTTTTATAGTTAATGTTTTACTTGGCTTCATAATTAACAGCATAAAGCGTGGGCCTAAAAAACGAGTGTTCTTCTTATGCTCATGCTATTATGCAGTCAATTACTTAGCTTTTATTAAAATGAAAAGATAGTAGCTAATCCTACCAAATGTCCAACCAAGCATCCTTCCTCATTAGGTTGCATGTAGGAGACTGAAGAAAGATTAGCAACACATTAATAAGTAAAGCCTCTAATTGCTTGCTACTTGGGTTTCAACTAAATCATAAATAACATAGGAGATGATCACCATCAACTGATTAGCCTAGGACTCATCATCCTCACTCAAAGCTTAGTTCAAATCTTTCTCTAACATATTTGAAGGGGGTGAGTTCAAATCTTTCACTAACTGAGTAACAAACTTGAAAGGGATGACAATAAACTGTAATCATAAATCAGGCATCTTGAGAAGCACCAATAATTCCGCTCACAAAGGAAAGCACTGCCAGTCTTTTATTTTAGCAATAAAGAAGTAAAAGTATGGAAAGCAATGAAAGATGGAATCAAAGTGTGATAACCTGTGAAGGGAAGCAATAAAGAAGTAAAAAGTATGGAGACCAATGGAAGATGGAATGGAAATGTGATAACCTGTGAGGGGAAACGACGGATACTCTCAACTAAGTACTGATAGGATTCCCGGTCACCAGCAACCAGCTCACCCATGTATGGAATAACTGAGAAAGAATAATAGTCATACCTGCAAGAGATGATGAGTAACATTAAACTGAATTGAATTCAAGTATGATAGGAGGCGCTGATTCTATGGCAGGAAGCAGTTTATATATTTTTGGTAGATTTGATTGGCTTGGAATGCCTGTATTTTCTGAGGTATCTCTTCCCCCTATCTGAAAGGAGTTTTCAGAATTCTGTTGTTGTATGTAAAATTAGATTGTCATATGTAAAATGTATATGATATAAAAGACATTTTAGTTGTTTTTTTCTTTCTCAAATGTGATTAGTGCATATCATCATTCTCTATCTTCTTGAATGTCAAAAAACAACATCCATCGTTCTTGCAAAATAAAGAAAATGATACTTACAAATCTTTAAATATAGGAATATCGACATGGCTCAGTTCAAGACAAAGGAACCTGCCTCCTGGTTTCAATACCCTGTTAAAGAAATAATAAATATAACAGTGATTCAACACACATTTTAATTGATTGCCATCAGCTGCTAAGGCATATACAAGTTATAGCTATCTCTTTAAAAGTGCAAACCTACCTATGAGCTTCACTAAGTACTTTCTCTATGTGTGTAACATTTCTTATCCCAAATGCAATAGTATAACCATCCATTGAATCATTTTCGAAACTCAAACTTTCAGCATTTCCCTCCACCCATACAAGGGAATCATCTTCTCCAAAACCTGTTATAATAAGCAGAAAATATTCATTCCTAGCAAATGAAAATAATATTAAACCAAAATCTCTTCATGAACTTAAACTAATTGTTGACAGTTTAAGTCATTTTCATTTACCCTTTTCCGAGGCCCGCTGTTTGCCAACATTTAACATATTAGGGTTAATGTCACATACATATATCCGAGTTTCTGCCTCTAAAGTATCTTCAAAAACACCTCCAACTCCTTTCACCTTAATTCTGTGTATGTTCTCCAAGATTCTAAAAGCAACATCTCCTGTAAAATAAAAATTATTAAGCTTGATACAAAAACCCTTAAACTTTTAAGGATTGCATGCAGCAGCAGCAGCATTTTAATTCCTTAGGCTGAGAATATCACCTAGGAAAAGCAAACTTCATATTAAAATACAGACACATCTTAACAGTTACAACTCTATTCCTTTAAAGAAACTTAAAGGTATATGAAGAACATTCAACTTACATTTGAACAAGTTAAAATACCACCCTGTGAACATAATGATGCCTAATTATTGTTCAAACTATATTTACTTTATGACTTCTATAGCCAGCAACAAATTGCTGAACAATAACAAAACCGAAAACTTAAATCTAAAAGAAACAATCACTTTTTGTGATCTAACTACTTGGGTATGCAACAGCAAGAACACTAGACACTGACCATTAGGCATTCAGAAATAGAATGAATTGCTCCAAATTAAAAGTTCTATGAAGAATATAGCAAGATGAATCAGCAAACTCTGAATAGGTGGACAATTTCTTTCGTCAAGTAGCCCATGAACTAAAACATCTACTAACCAATCCACATATCCCCACTACGTTTATCGCCAAGGTACACTCAGCCATTTCCCTTGAGATATTGCTGTCGGTTTTGCTCCCTCATTGCTAAATTTCTGTACTGAACTTCCAACGCTAAACTTTTTGTTTAAACAAATACATATATTGTCACTCTACAGAGAAAAGAGAATCAACCCTTTTAACTCAATATTTAGAAACCATGCATCACCTGCCAGAACCCATCAAACGGCATCGACAAATCACAGATTCAAACAAACAGTTTAAAACTTAGAAAGGAATTCCACACTATCAAGAGTTAAAGAACTCTCCTAACCCTAAACAAGTCAAAGATTAAAACATGACAAAAATGTTTGGAGTTTGGCATAAAGGAGAAAAAAGCTTTAATACCATTCCAAATGCAGTCCAAAAACAATTCCAATTACTATGATGATGGACTAGCATTAGTAGTAACAGAAGCTTCAAGGGAAGTTTACATGAGCAAAGCCTGCATTGGACCCTTTGTCCTACTTCGAATTAGACTAATTGATCAGAATCAGGTGGGAAGTTCAAGATATGAATTCTCTTCAATGCCGTGTCTCTTTGTCTCTCTCTCTATTATATATACACACATATGTGTGTGTGTTATTCTTCCTATCCTCATAACTTTCATGGATGTTCCTGTAACTGTGGACAACTTGACTGTCACAGCTACATTGCACTACACAGGCACTCTTGCCACCCCCACAGTTGTCACCACCCACCTCCCAAAAATGCTACCCAAGTTGCTAACAGCTTCATCAACTCTCATAAAGGCCTAAACTCCAAAAAGACACCTTGTCAATGCCCTATTAACAAGTTGATCACTCACTTTTCTTCACAGTCCGGTTGGGGATCAACCTTTGTCCATCTTGCAAGGCTTAAAATGGGAGCAGGGTGGTGGCTGTTGTCAACAGTGTGACATTTGTTATGCCAATCATTGCCTTATAGTGTGTTTGGATGAAATTCTTAAAATTTGAATTACTTTAATTTCAATTTCTATCATTCTTTAAATGTTTTGTTTGAACAATTCAATTCAAATTTTTAAATTTTAAATTTTTAGTTTGAATACAACAATTTGATTTTCACGATGGATAAAATTGATTTTAAACACACACACACACACATATATATAATAAAATTTTAAGATTAAATTTTATAAACTAAATATTGACCAAGTTTTAAATATTTAATAATTTTAAAAAGTTAATATTAGATAATATTTAATAATTTAGAAAATAATTTTGAATATTCAATAATTAAAAAAAACTATTTATATTTTCTATATCGATTTTAAAAAAGAGGAGAGGGAAGTAGGAAAAGAAGAATTTCAAATTTTAACTTTTTTGGGAGAATTTGAAAATTTGAAATTCTACAATTTTAAAGAATTTCGCAAATGCTCGAATTACAAATTATTTGTAAATTCTTCATCCAAACAAAGCATTTCAACCCAAAACATTTGAAATTCTTCAAAAAATTGAATTAATCCATTAAAATCCCCCATCCAAACACACTCTTACTTCAGGCACATTATTTCAACATCAGTGGGGGGTGTTCACCATTGATTTCCCTTCCAAAGCACCCCATGTGTTCAACTACTCACATCCTATGCACATCCAATAACTACTCTCACAAATTTATCCAAATTTATAATTAATGGTTGTGATGATTTAATATTGACATCAACTTAGACACAACAACCACAATTTCATTGCAGAATTCAAATCATAGACCCTCAACTAACAATATCTCATGCACAACATCAAAACTGGTTTATTAGGTAGCTCCAAAATATATTTTTGCACAGATAATTGCTATTTTGTGGTGTATCCCATGCATCACATCAGAAATTTCAGTAGCATCATTCTATGTTCAATAATTTTTGTAAATATACCACAAAAGCTTGAAATGAAGCAAAGTTGCAATGTACCAAATCCATGAAAATGGAAATCAAATTACCGAACAGATAAACTAAAAATAAAACATAAAAAACCCTAGATTACAGAAGATATCAGAGATGAGAAGAAATGCAGAGATAAACCCAAAATAGAACAAATAAAAAAACCCTAGATTAGAGAAAAAATCAGAGATGAGAAGAAATGCAGACAAATCAGAGATAAACAAACTAGAGAGAGAACTTGAGCAAGCAATATGTGAGATAGATAACATGATTAAAATTCTCGTTAGAATTCCTAACACTTTAAATCCCTCCTAATAAAATATCGAAACAGTAAATTTTATCACCAAAAACATTTAAATCCATTTTTAAATTACTTCCCCCTTTTCAAATCCTCCATCCAACCAAGGCCCTTGGTTCATTGGTCGTAAGCCTTGTCCAACGAAAAAGGAGTTAACCCGGTGCACTCCGGATCAATTCCTATTGGTTTTATATAAAAAAATGTTAGGTATAGAAAATTATATTTTGTGAGCGTAAACGAATCATTGATCGTCATCTTTAAAATACTGCATGGACAATTTCTATGGAAAAAAAAAATCCTCCATCCAAACACACCATAGTTTCATTCAAACAATTAACTTATTTTTCCAGACTGCATCAATTTAATTTACATTGCAATGTCCTAAAGCCTATAAATAGAAACATAATACAAAATATAGTGACAAATGACAACATAGCAGACCTGTGCCACCAGCCACATCAAGATGCTTCATTCCAAGAAACGGATTCAGCTTGGAAACTAACCTGAGCAGAAAATAAGCACATATTTAAGCCAAGGCCAACAGCAATATCAATATGTTTGAAATTATAACAGAAAACGATAACGTAATGTAACCTGTCCTTCCACAATCTATGCAATCCAGCACTCATTACGTCGTTCATGGAATCGTAGTTTGAAGCAACGTTCGTGAAGACGTCGCCTACCATGCGAGCCTTTTCTTCTTCGTTTACTTGTTTGAACCCTGAAAGTTTTTCATAATATCGATTTTTTTTTCTTTTTAATTGCGAATTGAAATTTGAATGCGAAGAGTGGAAACTAACCGAAACTTGTGGCGTGAGAATGGAGTAGTCTGGTAGTGGGAGATAACACGGGGAAGAGTTTTTTCCCCAACCGTCGAGTTACAGCTCCCAAAGCCATGGTTCCTGGCGCCGAAAAGGAGCGAAATTGAATCGCAATCAGAATCAGAAATGTTGATTGATTAATCGATTAATTGCATGGACGTAGTATGAAGGGTTGGGCATAGAGATAGAGGGAAGGATGAGAGAGCAGGGTAAGAAATCGAGTGCAACCGCCAGAAACGTGACCTCAGGCACGCTGTTGGACTTGGACAGCTTGCTCTCTCAAATGGGCCGGCCCAAGCCTCAGTCAAGGACAAAAACACTGAAACACCCACATAACCGAAGTTTAATTGCATTTTTCACCACCAAAGTTTCATGATTTCGTAAATCTGATCACACAACTTTTGAGATCACACATTTTTCTATTAAATTTTTATACATTTTGTTATCTCGCTAATTAATTATTTATCTTTGTTAATTAATTATTAATATGTCATATTGACTACTATATCATTTGTTAAATGTTAATGTATTTTAAAAGTTAAGTAACAAAATGTATAATTTAAAAAAAATGAGTGAAAAGATTTACAAAATCGTAAAATTTAGTTAAAAGATATAATTAAGCCAAAAAAAAAAGGTATCTAACTTTTGTCACTATTTTTCATTTAAATTTCTATATAAAAAAGTATTCCATTTTTTTCTTTGTAAGAGAAAAATATTTATGATAGAATCTTTACGATTGCTCCAAACAATGTATACTTCTATCTGAACTTTAAAGCCTTGAATAAAGGCTTGATGTAGTGTGTGTTTGTTTTATCATTAACACACTTTTTTAAAGTTGATTCAACTTAATCCATGAATCTTGTAATTTTGAACTAAGAGACAAAGCTTGTGAACTACAAAACAAACACACTCATAGATTGTCTGATTGATGGCGAAACAAGTGCTAGGGGAATTTCTAGATGTTACGAAAACAACTTGGCAGTTTATTCCTATCCTCTTTTTTATTCAGTAAAATTTCAATTAATTTGTTTATTAAATGGATCTTATCTCCATAATTGGCGCGATTTCGACCAGTTATAATTAAGAGTTTAAGACAGTTATGACCCAAACTCATTAAATAGTCTTTGGACTAAGCTAAGTCAATCGATGATAACGATGGTACAAGAATATAACGCACAACTTTCTTGATCATGTTTATCTTATCTATATTTTTTTTTTATACTTTCATCCAATTATAAATTATCATATATAACTTTTTAATAATAATTACTTTAAAAATTATTACTATATCGGTATAACCGTAAAGCAGGTCCCTATTTGTGAAAACATCCAAAGCTGATTAATTTAAAATTCACTATGGCAAAAACTAGAAACAAATTTCCTGCCATGATATGATAATGGAAGAGCTACCGCTAAAGGTGAAGAGAGTATCGGTACAAAGAAAAACGCCCGCAGGCTCCGACAAAAATAGGATTAAATGATAGAAAACTCTACCCTAAATACGTTTCATTCCCTCAAAAGATCTTGAAAAGCAAGCCGCCATGAGTGGCGAAAAATGGAGCGAAGACAAGTGACTCAACTGCCATGAGCTTAATGAGGATGTTGAGAGAAGGGCCTGAAGTATCTTTAAGAGGGTCTCCAATGGTATCGCCAATAACAGCTGCCTTGTGCGGTTCAGATCCCTTCGGGCCCAAGGTCCTTGCATGCTCAGATGCACCAGCCTGAAATTTCAACCCCACAAGGAGTGTTAACTTATCCACCAACAAAAAACAAAAACAAAAACGCAATCCTATTTTCATAAAGCGCCAGCAGTTTACCTCGATGTACTTCTTGGCATTATCCCAGGCACCGCCAGTGTTGGATGCTGATATTGCAATCTAATGAAAAAATCAATGCAGAATAACAAGATTCAGCAAACTTCACATAATGTGATACTCACGAAAATTGCAAATAATGTGTGGTTAGAGTGATAGTATTATTACCTGCACCCCAGAGACTAGAGAGCCTGCAAGAACACCTGAAAGTGTTTCCACACCAAAGAAAACACCGACGATGAGTGGTGTGAGCATGACAAGGGCGCCTGGAGGAATCATCTCCTTGATGGATGCATCAGTAGAAATCTTGACGCATGTAGCATAATCAGGCTTGGCATGACCCTCCATGAGTCCTGGAATGGTGTTGAATTGCCTACGAACCTCCTCAACCATCTTCAAAGCTGCACTTCCAACACTCTTCATGGTCATGGCAGAAAACCAGTAAGGAAGCATGGCACCAACTATGAGTCCAATAAAGACCTTGGGAGTCAAGACATCAACAGTCGAAATTCCTGCTCTGCTCACAAATGCACCAAATAGGGCCAAGGACACCAGAGCAGCAGACCCAATAGCAAATCCCTAGTACAAGAAAGACAGTAAATTCAGTAATACATACATAGAGAAGCATAACTCATCAAATGTAACTTTTGCTCCATATTCTATAATCATGCTCGTATGAATGAAATCAATAATATCATTAAAAGCCTTTAACCTATTTAATAATAGTTAATCACATATACACTGCCAATGTAAAGTTTTTTTATACTGGCAACCAATCATATATTTTAATAGTGTCATGTCAGTTACTTATTTAATGAAATAATAAATAATAAAAAATTTAAAAGATATGATTGGTTGCCAGTGTAAAAAACTTTACACTTGCAGTGTATGGATGATTAACTCTTTAATAATATCAAGACTAAAGCTCTAGTTTTGTAGGGTACTAGATTTCAGCATAATGCCTGGTAAAATCCATCAAGTCTTCTATTACACCCAAATTACTTCACTGAATAGATTTTTTTTTTCCAGCTTTTATATTTTGGCACAGCAATCTATGAAACATTTCGTTTGAACCAGAAAACTTGATAGCTTGATCAGAGATGAAGTGCATCATAGTACCTTGCCTATGGCAGCAGTAGTGTTTCCAGCAGCATCAAGGGCGTCAGTTCTCTCACGAATGCGATGGCTCATGCCTGCCATCTCAGCAATACCTCCTGCATTATCACTAATAGGTCCATAGGCATCAATAGCCAACCCTGTTGCGATGGTGCTCAGCATTCCAAGGGCAGCCACAGCAATACCATACATCGCAGCAAAAGTGAAACTCACAAAAATGCTGATTGCAATGGCAAAAATAGGAATAATCACAGACTTGTATCCCAGAGCAAGACCAAAGATGACATTGGTTGCAGCTCCAGTCCGGCAGGAATCAGCAACATCTTGTACAGGGCTGAAGGCAATCAAACAATGATGGTCAAGACCATTGAGTATTGAGACAGAAAGAATAGGAAAGATTTCACAACTTTGTTAACATTTAAGTACCTGTAAGCATTGCTTGTATAATATTCGGTAACAAACCCAATAATAAGTCCAGCCCATAGACCAACACCCACACAGAGGAACAGCTGCCTGAAAATTTAAACCAAGATTTTAGCCGAATATCAATCTCCATTCATGATCAACAAAAACAACTAAAACAATAGTTGATAATCTTGAAATGAAGACACCATACTCGAATATTTTCAAAAACATTTAATTAAATAGAAGCCAACCAATTGTGTTCTCCTGGAGGAATTAGAAAACAAACTTATAGATACAAATGACAATAAGAAAATTTCAACATATCACACATAACATTGAGTGTTTATAAACATTAAATGATTAACAACTTACCAGCTCTTTACTTCCTTCTGAACGCCAAAGTTGAAAATTGTGAAGGATGTTGGCAGAGCAAGCCAACTAATAATTGCAATTCCAACAGTCATGAGTACTGTAGAAATGATAAGCTGCTTTTTCAATGCTGGTTCAATTTCCTTGACAGCCTTGATCTCAAAGAAATCAGTTGCAAAGAGAGTAGTAATCAAACACACAATAATGCCAACAGAACTGATGAGTAGAGGATATAACATTGCAGTGAACTCGTGATTGATTCCAAATGAAGAAATGGAGGCAACAACTAAGGCAGCACAAGATGATTCAGCATATGATCCAAAAAGATCAGAACCCATCCCAGCAATATCTCCGACATTATCACCAACATTGTCAGCAATCACCTGATGAGACCATAGAAAGGATCAATAGTCAATACTAAATAGTAAATACCATTACAAACTTGGGACAATAAAAGGATGAAATATTGATGGAAATGCAACGATTTATAAATCACTTGTTTTTCAAAATAGGAAGGGAAACAAGGGAATTGAAAACAGCAAATGTGGCTTACAGCTGGGTTTCTTGGATCATCCTCTGGGATATTTCTTTCAACTTTTCCTACCAGATCAGCACCAACATCAGCAGCCTTGGTATAGATACCACCACCGACTCTCCCAAACAGAGCCATAGAAGATCCACCCAAACCATAACCAGTTATAGCCTCAAAAAGACCTTCCCAATCATCACCATAATATAGCTTGAAGAGGTTAATGGTAATGTAGAGCACCAAAAGACCATTTGCTGCAAGAAGGAAACCCATCACTGCACCGGACCTAAATGCAGTAATAAAAGCCTTCCCAACTCCCTTTCTCGCTTCCAAGGTTGTCCTTGCATTGGCATAGGTTGCAATTTTCATCCCAAGGAAACCAGATAGTACTGAAGTTATAGCACCAAGCAAGAAAGATACAGTGCTAAACAATGCAGTTGCAAGGGCAGGCTTGCATAGCTTGCTCTTATCATACGTGCAGGGCTGGCTCTTAGTACTGAAGCTTTCCACAGAGCCCAGGAAAAGGAAGATCAGTATTGCAAAAGCAACCATGAAGATCCCCACATATTGATATTCAGTGAAAAGAAAGGATGTTGCACCTGTAAAATCCATGCACAACTTGTAAGTACAAGATTACTACGAGATTAACATTATCCTATTCAATTTAGAAATCACTTTTCATGGCCTGGGCCTACAAGCTAGTGCCCCAGGACATACAATAAGATAAGACACAAGCATGAGCTAGTGCATGTGTTCTTGGTATTTAACAATGAGAAACTTAAAAGACAAAATTATAAATATCAAGCGGCTCTCTAATGAAGTCCATCCCGTCCCCAACACTGACTAGGCACATTAGCAACGCTCTATATGAACTATCAGTCCATCACTTGCGGTGCTAAAAATTGAAGCGAGTACATTCAGTGTCAACATTCCAGACTGAAGAATGAAAATGCCAAATTTATCATCATAATATGAAACTACTTATACATGCGCCAAACCAACTTTGATGTATTTTCCATAAT